ATCTAGTTAAATTCTTTATTAACTTTTTTCTAATAAGTATATTAAATAAAGTACTAAAAGGTAATTTAAAATTAAATAATATAAATACTAAAGCTTAACCTTTATTAGGTAAAAAATAATAGATTTAGTAATATTAAAAATCTACTAAGGGTATTCTTAGTATCTAATAATTAATATTTTTAGATTATCTTAAATAAGCTAGTTATTAATATTATTAAATTAAATACCTATATTATTTATATCTTTAATTAATAATAAAAAAGGTATAAATATTAGTAATACTTTAAAAATAATTAGTCTTAGTATTATTAAGATAATAATATTACTTACTAATATAGTAGAAGTAATACTAAAATATATTATAAAGGGGTATTAGTTCTTTTTAATTTTTAGTAAAGGAATTAGTACTATTAGGGCTTATACCTAAAGAAGTCTAGTATTAGAGAAACTAGTAACTCCTATATTAAGGAAGATATCTTTAAAGACTTTATTAAAGTACTTATTTATATATATATATATACTTATAAAATATATTATATTAGATTCTTTTTAGTTTTAGTATATAAGGTAATTAACTTTTAAAGAACTATTATAATCTTATTTAAAAGTATTTCTTTAGTACTTTTAAAGACCTAGAAGGTTTTTATAATACTTATAAAGAAGGTTTTTATATTTTTATTATTAATAAGTTTATCCTCTTTAAGGTTATTATTATTATTTAATTTTAAATATATAATAAAAATATTATATAAGCCTTTTTAATCTATATTATCTTTAAGTCCTTTAGATATTATTATAAATACCTAAAAATACTTTTTAATAAGTAATTTAATATAGTTCTTTTTCTAAAACTAAGTATCTTAGGTATTTTTATATTCTTTTTTAGTATATTTAGTAAACTAATAGCCTTACTTTTTATAAATAAAATAGTATTTTAGGGAATTCCTTAAAATAAATTATTTTTTATTACCCTAAATACTATAATATTCTCTATTAATATAAAACTACTATTAATAATAATAATAAGTCTTTTTATATATACTAATAAACTACTAAAAAGTACTAACTAGTTCTTTATATATTTAGATTAGTTAAGTTAAAATAGAAAAATAGGCTTTATTATTATAAATAATACTTTTTAGTATATTTTTTATTTTTATTAATAAAGTATTACTTTCTATTTTAAAAAAAAGTTCTTTAATAAAGTAATTATATCTTCTTTATTAAGATCTCTAGGTAATTAAGAGTTATTTTATTTAAGTTCTTTTTTATAATATTTAATAATAAGAGTTTTTATTATTTATTTTAATATTAGTTATATATTATTAGGGGTTTAAAATAATTTTAAATTTAGTTTATTATCTTAAAATAATTAAGTTTTTAGTTAATTAAAATATAAATATAATAAATATAAGTAAGTCTAGTTAATATTAAAGGAAATATATATCTTAATTCTTAATTAAGTAGTTTAATATATTTATAATAATTAATAAAGTTATATAACTTTATTAAAAAAAAAGTAATATTATTTTTTAGAGTATTTATTATACTTTTTATAGTTTTT